GCTCCTACTGACTGATTCACAGACCAACTGGAGTGAGGCAGGGAAAGGGTTCACTTCCCAGATGCTACAAGAAACTCAAAAGAAGTTTGGTGGCCAGAAGATCACATACCCCCTTGGTTTACAGAAGCCCAGACTCACACTCAACAGAGACAGCCTGACGAGCCAAACCCTATGCCTACCCCCTCAAAACACACACACACACACACACACACACACACACACACACACACACACAGCTGAACTTCTATGACATCTCTCTCCACCCTCAACTCAACATTGCAAAGTCCTCTGCCTCTCCTAACAGAGGCACCCTGATGGGGTAATCATCTGCTAAATTACGAAAGAACTTCACCTGCTTAACTGAGGTCAGCATAGAAACTATACATTGCCTGTTTTTCATTTTTGTGGTTCTGGGAATTGAACCCAAGGGTGCCCTACCGCTGAGCTACACCCCAGCCCTTATTTTTTTTTTCTTCTGAGGGTGTCACTGGCCTTAACCTTGTGATCCTCCTGCCTCAGCCTCCTGAGGTACTGGAATTATAGGCATGCACCACCTTGCCTAGCCAAACCTTGTTTTATATAAACTATAAGACCCTCCTACCCACCCCCCCAAAAAACACCCTAAATTGTCAGTCTAGAACAACATTCCTTGCAGAATGATGGGCTTCTGTAATTGTCACCTTCTTATCATTTACAGTTCTTTATATGAATTCCCAGACATAAGCATTAGGACCAAGTCTATAATGTTCACTGCTGCATCTGTCATATACCCTCTAAAAATATATATTCCCTATCTGAAATGCATTCCAGCTTATTCTTGGGTTCTCTTGGCATAGAGGATGTTACCTCTTTTAAGTCAAACTCAGAACCTGCCCTGGTTACAGAAATAAGAGCAAGCTGTAAAGTTGGAAATATAAAATAATAATTTTTTAAAAAACAGACTTTTTTTTTTTGTACCAGGAATTGAACCCAGGAGTGCTTAACCACTGAACAACATGCCCAGCCCTATTATTTTTTTATTTTATAAATATTGTTTTAGCTGTAGATAGAAACAATATCTTTATTTTTATTGGTTTTAATGTGGTGCTGAGGATCGAACCCAGTATCTCACATGTAAGGCTCTACCACTGAGCCACAACCCCAGCCCCCTTTTATTTTTTATTTTTATTTAATTAAAAAAATTATTTGTTGCTTTTAGTCATATATGGCAGTATTTTGACATATCTGTAAATAGGGTTTAACTTCCCATTCTTGTGGTTGAACATGACGTGGAGTTATCAGTGTGCAGTGGCACACACATCCATATATGAACATAGGAAAGTTATGTCCAATTCATTCTACTGTCTTTCCCATTCCCATCTCCTCCCTCCCCTACCTGCCTGCCTGTTGTGAGTCAGCGTCTGTCTGTCAGAGAGAACATTAGGCTTTTGGGGACTAGCTTATTTTACTTAGCATGATAGCCTCCAATTCCATCCATTTACCAGCAAGTGCCACAATTTCATTCTTCTTTATGGATGAGTAATATTCCATTGTGTATAAATACCACTTATTTTTTAAGACAGGAATCTCAGTTGCTTGCTAAGTTGCTAAGGCTGGTCTCGAACTTGGGATCGTCCTGCCTCACTCAGCTCCTATACTGCATAGATATGTGCCCCCACCCCCGGCTTCAGACTTTCTTTAATGAAGCTATGAATTATCTGCCCCCCTGCCATATTGAGTCATATCTGGTTTCTACATTTTATCTATAGTAACTCTCCTTCCTCCCTCCCAAGCCATACCTAGTCCTCCCTAGAAAGGTCACCATCATGTCCAGGGTGGCCTTCTGAAGGATTATGGTTTCACTATGAGGACAAGGTGGAAAGGGGAAATCAAAAAGGTGATGACGGCTACCTCCTAGGATTGGAGAGTGTCACATCTCAAAGACATTAGGAATCCAAGATCTTAGTTTACTGAAACCTAGAAAGGTTCACACTCCACCAGCATGGTGGGCATCTGGGGCACACATGGCCCTGCACTGCACGCTTGTAGCAAATATAAAGAGGAACAACAGATCCAGTCCTCAGAGTCTAACAATAGATGGGCCTTTCTTCCCTGAGGTCACAAGGCTCTAAGTAACTCTAAGTCACTAAACAGGTCCTCTATCCACTACAGCCTATTTTGTTTTCTCTTTAAAAAAAAAAAAAAAAAAAATGAAGCCGGGCATGGTGGTGCATGCCTAAAATCCCAGCAACTCAGGAGGCCGCAGAAGGAGGATCACAAGTTCAAAGCTAGCCTCAGCAACTGAGAAAGTCCCTTAGCAATTTAATGAGACCCTGTCTCAAAAAATAAAAAGGGCTGAGGATGTCACTCAGTGATTAAGTGCTCCTAGGTTCCATTTCTAGTATTAAAAAAAAAAAAAAAACCACCAAAATGAAACCAAGTGCAGTGGCATACGCATGTAATCCCAGATATTTTGGAAGCTGAGACTGGAGCATCACAAGTTCAAGACCCTATTTCTAAGTTAAAATAATAATAATAATAAATAAAAAGGATTGGGGATGTAGCTTAGTGGTAGAGCACCCGGGCTCAATCTCCAGTACTGCAAAACAAAACAAAACACAAAAGCCATGGTGACACATGCCTGTAGTTACAGTTACTGGAGTCTCAGGCACTTAAACCCATGAGTTCAAGACCAGCCTAGGCAACATAGTAAGATCCATCTCAAAATAATGAAAAAGAAAGGAGAAAAAAAAAAAACAGATTACTACCTCACCCAAAGTGATACTTATCCTTCCCAGAGAGCCAATTTTCTCTGGCAAACAGAATCAAAGCTTGCTCAGAGAACAGGCTTCCAAACCCCTTCTTAGTTTTCCTCTTACAAGGAGGTAAGTGCTCAAAATTTCCCTGCTGGTAGCCCCAGACTGGGAGAAAAACAAAACATCATTAACAAGACAATGAAACAAAACAAACATCATGGTGGGTACTCACACCAGAGGGATATCAAGGCAGCCAGCTGGAGATGCTAGAAGGACAGGTCAAAGACCACTGAGATGGGGAGGATTTGTGTCAAGGTTCCTAGAGCAATGTGGAGAATGAGAGTAATAATTAAACAAGCACCCAGAAACATGCAATATTGGCACTCCAAAGCAACTTCGCTGTCTGGCACCAGACAACCAGAAGGAGAAATCTTGCTTTGCCTTTTCCACAGAAGAGCCAATGGTCTAGAGATAGGTCGAATGCAGAGATGAAAGCTCTAAACTGACTGACCCTCATCTTGCACCTCCTTAGTTAAGGTTCTGAACTGAATTTTCTCTCCAAGGATCTGAAGCAGGTATGCAAGTAGCAGAAGTTTTCAAAATACTGTTAGTTGAATGCATGAATAGCTAAAGTCATTCAGGGAAAATCTGTCTTCACCACAACATACTTAATTAGGTTCGAAAGACTGCTGGTAGGAAGGGATGAAGTCCAAAAACCTAGATGAAACTATTAATAATATCTAGCATTTCCTTTTTGACAATACTCTTATGTATTTGACCGACAGGACTGACAGTTAAGAGGCACACACAAACATCAGCAAACTTCCAGGCTTTACTGGGTCTTAGAAAAGTTCTAGATTCTTGGTTTACAACAGATATAAATCACTCTGTTTCTCCTACCTGGACAATAGCTTTTACAAACAATACTGCAAATTGTTTAGAAGTCAGTTCAAGTCCCAACTCTATCGTTTACAATTTCTAGCGCTGTGAGAACAAAATAAAATCTTGTACTAAAAGCATTTCACTAAGGATGTAATTTCCACAAGGGCAGATTTCGTGCACTGCCATGTCTCCAGCGTCTAGAATCTGGCCTGGAGCATACTTACCACAGGATCCTCTGCAGGTAAAAGGAGTGGGAGGCAGCACTTCCGATCCAAGGTAGCTTAATAAAATTCAGTGGGCCCCCCAAAACACCTTTAACTTCAGCTGTCAGCTCCCACCTCAAGATTCAGAGCCAGTCCCCGGTCTGTCTCTCGCCCTCCTACAGGTGGCTTCTCCCCAAACAGAACTCCTCGAGCCCAGACTCTGACAAAGGGCTAAGGAGATGGGTGCGCAATCCATACATCCCCCCCCACCCCCTCGCCCTGGCACAAGAAAGCAACGGGATCAGAGGAGAAGAGTTCACAGGCCACTCCTCACACCTCGTGGTCTCGGCAATTGGAAGTCCAGCCTGCGCTGTTCGGCAACCCTCCCTGGCAGAGTCAGAACGGACTCAAGCTCCCTCCCCGGGATGGGGACACTGGAGGTAGATATAGCCGGTGGCCTCCTCTCATGGCCCCTTACCTGCTCCCAGGAGTGATGCACCAAGACTAGTGCCACCAGATGTAGCACACGTTGGAACTCTGGCCTGAACCACTGCCTTGGCAGGGTCAGGGAACCTCCCCCTCTCCCGCCCCTACGTCCCCCTTCGTGACCAATCACAGGCCGGGAGACTCCCGCCAGCCACGTGGGCGAGTTTTCTTCTTCCACGGGTCTCAGCAGGCCAGACTTAGCCTTCAGCAGCACCACCGCCCGCCTGCGCAGTGAGCGGGCACTTCGGCGCGCTTGCGCACTTTGGAGAAAGCGAAGTTGGACCCCGCCCCATACCGCTGCTTTTCTCCTCCGCTGTGCGTGCGAGGGACGTCGGGGGCGGTGCCGCAGCAGTTGCCCCTGGTAACGGGGGAGGGAGGAGGAGGAGGAGGGACTCGGCGGGAGGATGGTGAGTGTAGGGGCCCGAGCCCCTCTAGAGCCGGCGGGTCGCCTCCCTCTCGTCCCCAGATCCAGGGCGGGGCACTGCGTTTAAATCCGAGGAGGGAATGGGATGGCGCTCAGCCTGTGGTCTGGGTTCTGGATTGGTTTCGGGGGCGGCGGGGAGCCCCGAGGGTGGGCCCTGGAAGGAGGCCTGGGTCTGGGGAGGAAGGCGGGGTTTGCGATGGGTCCTAGGCTAGGGGAAGGGGCTGGCCGAGTGCGTGGATGACCTGAGCTCCATCATTAGTCTGGGGATAGGGCTGAAGATGGATCCGAGAACTGCGAAGAGCTGTCTCCTCACGCAGGCTTAGATCTTCCGGGGAATTGGCCTCCCCGCGCCGCAGAATAATGGGGTCCACATGGGGCCCAGCCAGAAGCGGGGAGAAGGGCCCGCTACGGTCTTTGAGATCACTCCGGCAGCATCAAGGGTGAGAGTAGCCTAGCTCTCCTCTTCCTTGCGTTGCGCGGGTTGCTGGATGAGGTGGGGAGGGATTAAGTCCCTGGACACAAAGAGGTGTCTCTTGGAAAGGATGCTTGGTAGATTTTTACGACATCTCAATGACTGCAGACCCGAATTATTTATTTGCTGAGAGTTCTGCAAGGTCTGGTTGTTGATGACCCATTTTTCGTTCTATGCTTAATCCGTGTTGGTAGAGGCGAATTAGCTGCCTAGTTCTTAGCATTTCCTTTGAAACCTGTTGCAATCCCCTTTTGCATTTGACCTCACCAGGATCAAAGGTCTTAATCCCAGTTTGGGGTCGCTAAACTAAATGGGATGAACCTTTTCTCTGTCAGCTAAAATTAAACTTTCTCATTGTAAATCACAATATGTGACTGATTTGACCATTGACACTCAGTTTCTTATTGACTTTTGTGCAGTTAAGTAGAAAGAGCAAAAATGAAATTGAGTGCTTTTAGAGCTAGTGAAAGAAAAATATGATTTTAAAGCAGGTAGGTTGACTTTCCAACTGCAAAGAGCCAGTTATAGTTATTGCCTTATCCTATCCTGTAGTCCCTTCTTATGACTTTTTAAAATGGGGAATAACTTCTGTTGATTTGTGAATGAAAATCTAGATGACCAGCAGAGAAAAATGTATGTCATTGGTCAGATTTACTCCAAGGAGTTAATTTTGACAAGTGTTTTCTTTCTATTAATCGTTTATACATGAGCTGTCCATTTAAAGGCTAAGTTTATCCCAACAAATGAGTGCAAACATAAATATTTACATAGAAAATAACTAAAATCGAAATGAAAAAGGCATGCAAAAACATCAGAGAATGAGATTTGTCATTATAGATGAGAAACATGAGAGTTGGCTAACTTTACCCAGTTTTGTTTATCAATTAAGTGAACTGTATAATTTCATGATTGCTTAATTTATAATTATAGGCCTCAATAAATTAACCACTGCTCATGTTTCCAGGTGCAAACTGGCACTGTGTACACCAAAATGACAGTGTATATGTAACACTGTTATATACAATTGTTGTATGTGATTTTTTTTTTAATATTTATTTTTTAGTTATTGGTGGACACAACATCTTTATTTGTATGTGGTGCTGAGGATCGAACCCCGGGCCGCACGCATGCCAGGCGAGCGTGCTACCACTTGAGCCACGTCCCCAGCCCCTGTATGTGATTTTTTTAATGATCAAAACAGATTTTTTTTTCCTTAAAATGAACAATAAGAAATTAGGACAGGACTGGGGCAGTAGCTCAGTGGTAGAGAGCTTGCCTAGCATAGATGAGGCACTGGGTTCAATCCTCAGCACCACATAAACATTTAAAAAATATATGAAATAAAGGTATTGTGTGTGCATTTACAACTAAAATTGTTTTTTTTTCTTAAAAGAAATTAGGGCAAATTATTCTGGGTTCTTTATCTGTTTTCTAAAACATTTTCCCCCCATCCAAAAATGTGAGCTAGGCTTGTTGAGTTTATGGAGCTTTTCTGCCATTCCTACACAGATGATAAATCAAATATTTTAAAAATGCTCTCTAGTTCTTTAAGAAAAATGAAATGAAATATGGGAAAATAGTCATTGATAATGTTGAAAGTGGAGTTTTGGGATGAAATAAAATTTCTCACTTTGCCAATTGTGAAGCCAGATTTAAAGTTAGGTAGTCAGTGTAGTTAGGTTAAAAAAAAAAAAATGTGAGCTATTGTTAGAAATGAAAGTGGAGGGCTGGGGTTGTGGCTCCCTCAGTGGTAGAGTGCTCACCTAGCACACTCGAGGCACTGGGTTTGATCCTCAGCACCACATACAAATGAAATAAAGATATTGTGTCCACCTACAACTAAAAAATAAATGTTAAAAAAAAAAGAAATGGAAGTGGAACACTGAATTTAAATGGTCAGTGATATGATAAAGTGTGTCAAGTCGTATCCATGAGCCCCTATAATTAACTGTACAACTGAAGAGTGAGCACTGGGCTTTTGTTTCTTTGTTTTAAAAACTTCAGCTATGACTAATATATTTTTTATTTGAATTAGGGCAAAAAAAACTATTATGAATTCCTCTGAACATTTAGGGTCAGCTGTTTTACCCCTACCTTATGACACCAAGTTCTTTTTTTTTTTCTTTTTTGTGGTACTGGGGATTGAACCCAAGGGTGCTCTACACTGAGATACATTCCCAGCCTTTGAGACAGGGTCTTGCAAAATTACCCAGACTAGCCTCAAATTTGTGGTCCTCCTGGCTCAGCCACTGGATTACAGACTTGCACCACCAAAACCCTGATACCACGTTCTTGATGAAATACTAAGATGTCTAATTATGACACATAATTAACAACTGTTATTTAATATATAACTAAATTCAGTAATTATTTATGAAGTACTTTTTACACACATACTTTCTACATATGGTAGTGACCAGGCATGTTCAACACTTGACAATTGTTCCCAACTGTATTCATGTTTTCTGGTCAGAAAATGGTCCGTAAATAATACACCAACACAGTGACACACACCTGGAAACCCAGCTACTTACAGGGGGATCACAGGCTCAGGGCTAACCTGGGCAACTTAGTGAGACCCTGTCTCAAAATAAAATGAGTTGGGGACCTAGCCCAGTGATAGACCTCTCCTGGATTACAAAAATGTGGGGGCTGGGGCTCAGTGGTAGAGCAATGCTCAGTATGTGAATGGCCATACCATCCCCAGCACCACACAAAATTTATATAGTTAAAAAAAAAAAAAATAGGGGCTGGAGATGTGGCTCAAGCGGTAGCGCACTCGCCTGGCATGCGTGCGGCCCGGGTTCGATCCTCAGCACCACATACCAACAAAGATGTTGTGTCCGCCGAGAACTAAAAAAAAAAATATATATATATATATACATATATATATATCACACAAATTGTGCTATTTTTTATTTTTTTTAAAGAGAGAATTTTTTAATATTTATTTTTTAGTTTTTCGGTGGGTACAACATCTTTATTTTATTTTTATGTGGTGCTGAGGATCGAATCCAGCGCCCCATGCATGCCAGGTGAGCGTGTTACCACTTGAGCCACATCCCCAGCCCCACATTGTTTTATTGTTTTGAATGACTGCTATGCATCATGCTTTACATCTGTTATTTAGTCCTTGTAATATTTTTCTTGAGGTGTAAGTATTGTTCCCATTTTCTGGATGGAATTGTGCCCACAGTTACTCACACAGGGAAGCTGAATATGGTCTGAAACTCTAAAGCCCACAATGTTTTTTATTTATTTGTTTTCTGGTACTAGGGATTGAATTCAGGGGCTCTTTACCATAAGCTCCATGCTCAGCCCTTTTCATTTTTTTACTTTGAGACAGGTCTTGCTAAGTTTCTGAGGCTAGCCTCCAACTTAGAATCCTCCTGCCTTAGCCCCCAAATAGTTAGGATTACAGGTATTTGCCACTGTACCTGGCAATAGTTCTGTTTAAAGGTTTAAAGAAGTAAAAAGAAATGACAGACAGTTCCATTTAAGCTAGTTATGGGGAGTGTATTATTTGACACTTTACTTAGTAGTTTTAAGATATTCAAATTTTAGCCTCTCCTTACAACTATATATATATATATTTTTTTTCACACACACACACACACACTCACACACACATATATGTATGTCCTTGCTGGTTGGATTAATATGATTCTGTATAGCATTTGCACTTGTCTTCCCTAGGCCATTCTGGAGATATATATATATATATATATAATATATATATATATTTTATATATATACATGAACAACAATACCTTTATTTATTTATTTTTGTATGGTGCTGAGGATCAAACTCAGTGCCTCACATGTGCTAGGCAAGTTCTTTACCACTGAGCCTCAAACCCAGCCCCCATATATTTTCATATACCAAAAAATTCCTCTCCCCCTCCACCACTCTGGTTTCTTTCAATGACCTAATTTGTATCATTTAGGTCAGTATGCCAAGCCTGTGCCAGGAGTTGAGTTTAAGCTGATTTTGAAGCAGATAAAATGTCTGTCGTCAGTAGCACATCTATTTATGATTTACTGGCAGAAAAGTTTGTTTAAATGTTTTGTGGGTGAGTCAGATCACTTTTGTCCACCAGAGTGCAGAGAACTTACATACACACATGCTGATAACACATACATACCATTAGCTGAAGTTCTTGTTTCTTATTAGTTTTATTTAATGTCATAGGAAGGTTAATCCTACATAAAGATCATCCCTGTTTTGCTCACTGTAGTGCTTGAGGCACAATGTGGATGTTAATGGTAATTGACATGAATGGCTATTTGAGCCAAAAATATATTTTAAAAATTAATTTTGTTGTATTTATACTGTGCAACTCAGCTCCATCATAAATTTAACTTCTAATGTTATTTCTTCATTTGACATTTAAAATAAAGTATGGCACAACAGATAAGAGCATAGAATACACTTATTCTGTCTTTCATCCAGCCTCTTGAATCAGCTTAAGATGTACCTTTCAGGCAGAACTCTGATATCTATAAATATCCTCTTCCCTGTTTAGCAAACCCCATAATCCCACGATCCCCTGTCCTTGCTGGTTGGGTTAATATGATTCTGTGTAGCATTTGCACTTGTCTTCCCTAGGCCATTCTGGAGATGCCATTTATCATTTTGCTGGAAGAAAATATTAGCTGAACTTTCCATTTCTATGTAATTTCACTTAAAGATGAAGCATCTGACATTATTGTTTCCTAATAAGGAAGATTACTCAAAAATTAGAAATATAGAAATACTAGGGCTGGGGCTCAGTGGGAGAGTACTTGCCTGGCAGGTGTGAGCCTCTGGGTTCAATTCTCAGCACTGCATATAAATAAATGAATAAAATAAAGGTCCATCAACATCTAAAAAAAAAAAAAGAAAGAAATGTAGAAGTACTGTGTTCTATACCATTAGATTAGTCAAATCTATGTATAGTTAGAATGATTCCTTTCTTATCTGTACTTTGTTTCTCTTCTTTTATGATGAATAAAAATTGTTTTTCTCTTAATTATTTAATTTCAAATATAATGTGTGTATGAAAGGTCTCAGCCTGTAGACAGCAGTATTTTTAGTATTTTTTAAAAGAGATGCATGATGAAAAGCCCAAAACATTAAACTTAATAATATTTTATAAGCAATGGACCTTCCTTCACAATTTCTACACTAATAGATAATGCATGAGAACTTTGCCTGTATGTCATTTAATGTATTAATTTGATAAATTTCCTGTTTTAGAATTTATTATGAGAGCTAATAAGGGTTAGGGTTGCATCTCAGTGGTAGAGTACTTGTCTAGCACACAAGATCCTGGGTTCCATTCTCAGCACTTCATTAATAAATAAATAAAATAAAGGTCCAATGACAACTAAAAACAAAAATTTTTTAAAAAAAGGTAATGAGATCCTTTCTTTTCACATCCAATTTGGAACTCAGGATGAGAAGTATGATGTGTTTTCCCTGTTCTTAGCCTTTTTATATCACCAGTTCCCTAAGGATCTCAGAATTATAATTTTAACTCTTCTGAAAGGTGGAATTATAAATGAATGATTGCAATATAGCTAATAGAAACCCAGGAGACGTCTTATAAATATATTTTTTGGAGGAAGGGGGTCCCAGGATTTTACTCAGGGGCACTTAACCACTGAGCCACATCCCCAGCCCTTTTTTAATATTTATTTATTTTTATTATTTAATTAAATTAATTTATTTATTTTGGGTACTGAGGATTGAACTCAGGGGCACTCAAAAACTGAGCCACATCCCTAGTCCTTTCTGTATTTTACTTGTGTAGGTGTAGTGTGTGTGTGTGTGTGTGTGTGTGTAGTGTGTTTGTGGTGTATGTGTAGTGCTGGGGATTGAACCCCGGGCCTTATACATGCAAAGCAAGCACTCTACCAACTGAGCTATATCCTCAGCCCCTCCTTTCTGTATTTTATTTAGAGATAGGGTCTCACCAAGTTGCTTAGCACCTCACTTTTTCTGAGGCTGGCTTTGAACTTGTGATCCTCCTGCCTCAGCCTCTGGGATTACAGGTGTGGGCCACTGTACCCCGGTCTCACTAAATTGCTTAAGGCCTCTCTAAGTTGCTAAGGCTGACTTTGAACTTGCAAACCTCCTGCCTCAGCCTCTGAAATCACTGGGATTATGGGCATGCGCCACTGTGCCTGGCATAAATATAATATTAAGATGGAATGGTGTCAAAGTATTCAAGGCCAGATGAGATAAAAACAAAAGAAAAACAAGAAGATAAAAAGGGACACTGGGGATGTACCTCAATAGTAGAGCACTTCCCTAGCATATACAAGACCCAGGATTCAATCCCTAGTACTGAGAGAAAAAAAAAAAAATCCTGCCTTTAACAAAAGGTTATGCCTATCTTTGTTTGAAATCTATGCAGTCTCTCCTAAATCTTTTGGCATAAAATATGTCTGTCTTAGACTAAACCTTCCAATTCATTGCTGGAAAAAAATTGAGGCATACAGAGGTTAATGTCCTTAGGAAGTCAGTGCAAATACAATACCAGAGTGGTAAACATAGAGTCTCTGAGGCAGAAAGGAGTTCTTGACAATTATGCATATTTGCATATCATTGTCCAAAGACCTAATTGTTGAGAATTATTTCATGGAAGTATTATTTGATCTTAGTGAACAAACTGGTTTGAATTATTACCTGGTGCAATGCGGATGATAAATACAACCATTTTATGTAATTCTAAGATTCAGCTTGAAGGAATTTCTACTCTGGCGGAGAGATTAGATTGTATGCCCTTTAAACTCTTGGATCCTTTGATTCTTGTTGTAGCCATGCTTCATTAGAACAAGATTGTCAGATGTAGAATGGAAAAAATAACTATCTTATAAAATCTGTCTTGTCTAAAAAACAAAATGGCTTAAGTTTGTAAGTGTAGCTCAGTGGTAGAGTGCTTGCCTAGCATGTGTGAGTCTCTGGGTTTGGTCCCCAGCACCAAGAAAACAAAAACAACCCTGGTTAAATTTTGATGTTTTTTGCATCATGAATGCCTTTTACAGTTCCCTATTGCCTAACTTCTCTGTTGTATCAGATTTATCATCCAAAAAACAGATAATCAATACTGTGTACCTAAAATTAGATGATGATTGAGTATTTTGAATGAAGAAGTCCTAAACATGAACTGTTATAGGTCGAGTCTTAAACACAGAGGAGTCCGGCTACAATTTCATACAACCTTTTGGTGTGGTGCCTTAAAATCTTGCATTAACTTTGGGTAGATGAATCTATTTACTTGAACAACTGTTATCTGGTATCTAATAAGTGCCAGGCATTGTGGGAGACAGAAGCTATCATCCTTACCCGTTACCTAATCTGATATGATGAGTGTGAAGAGCTTTAGGAACACAGGTGGGGTAGTAGTTTGCACTTCCACAAGATTTGGGGTGATTGCTAAACTGGATTAATAGTAGGAGCAGAAATAAGACATACATTAGAGTGGAACGTAATAGTATAAGCTCTCCATAACCAAGAACTTATAAGGAGAAGTCATTCTGATATGCTGTAATATCAAAGTTACTGCCCCCCAAATAATCTGTCTCCTTCATGGTTGTTTAAGGGCTTACTCTCCATTTTGCGCAAGTTGAAAAGTGCGCCAGACCAGGAGGTGAGAATTCTTCTCCTGGGCTTGGATAATGCTGGCAAGACCACTCTGCTGAAGCAGCTTGCGTCTGAAGACATCAGCCACATCACCCCTACGCAGGTGAGCACTTCCTTGGTTCCAGGTGCTATGTGACACAAGGAAAATGACAGTAGCAGTGGGAGAGACAAAATAAGAAATATGGTTTTGTCCACTTCCAAGGGTTGTTTCTGAGCAGAGTCTATTTGGTCTAAAAATAATCACATTTTATACATTATATGAAGACATGCCATGCATAGAGCAGTGCAATTCATAGAGATGGAAAGTAGACTGACAATTACTGAAGCTGGGCAGGGGGAATGGTTTTTGTTTTCTTTTTTTTTTGGGGGGGGCGGGGGAAGTTTTGTTTAATGGATACAAAGACAGTTTTGCAAGGTGAAAACAGTTCTGTGGATGGATGTACACCTTGTGAGTGTACCTAATGGCAATCACCTGTACACTTTAAAATAGATAAGAAAACACATTTTATATTATGTATATTCTACCAAAATGTATATACATACATATATATATATATATATATATATACACATATTTTTTGTATCAAGATAATAAATTATTTCAGATCTAAGTGATTATATATATTATATATGTCTTTTTTCTTTTTCCTCATGCTGGGGATTGAACCAAGAACCTTCAGACATGTTAGGCAAGCACTCTACCACTCAACTGCACCTTTAGCCTTATATTCTTTTTTTTTTTTTTTTCCCCTTTGTGGTACTGGAGATTGAACCTAGTGCATCACACCTCATAGGCAAATGCTCTTCCACTGAGCTAAGTCCCCAGCACACACACACACCTTTTTTTTTTTTTTGGTACCAGGGATTAAACCCAGAGGTGTAACCACTTAGCTACATCCCCACCCTTTTTATTTTTTATTTTGAGACAGGATCTTGCTAAATTGCTGAGACTGTCTTTGAACTTGCAGTCCTCTTGCCTCATCTGCCCAGATCTCTGGGATTATAGGGATACACCACCATGCCAAGCCCAGCCTTTTTTATTTTTATTTTTATGTTTTGGGGTATTGGGGATCAAACCCAGGGCCTTGTGCATGCAAAGCAAGCACTCTACCAACTGAGCTATATCCCCAGCCATTAAAATTATAAAAACAAAGCTTTATTCTGATTAATACATGTAGAAAATGCAAAGAACATATAAAATACTAAAGAATATTCTGAGAAAAACCCACTGTTGCTGTTTTAGTGTGTGTTTTTCAGACAATATGTGTCAATTTTTAAAATAAAAAACAAAGCCAGGTTTACTGGTGCATGCCTATACTCCCAACTACTCGGTAAGCTGAGACAGGAAGATGGCAGGTTGGAGACCAACTTTGGAAATTTAAAAAGAACCTGTCTCAAAATAAAAATAAATTAGGGCTGGGGTTGTGACTTAGGGGTAGACAGCTTGCCTAGCATGCATGAGGCACTGGGTTCGATCCTCAGCACCACATAAAAATCAACAAATAAAAAAAAATTAAAAGGACTGAGAATAAAGTTCAGTGGTAGAGTACCTGTGGGTTTAATCTCTAGTATTACATACAAAAATAGTAATAAAAAAAAATTGTTTGGATGCCATGGCACACATGAGGATGGTGACGTCAAAGCCAGCCTCAGAAACTTAGTGAGGCACTTAGCAACTAAGAAAGACCCTGTCTCTAAATAAAATACAAAAAGGGTTTAGGGTTGTAGCTCAGTGGTAGAGCACTTGCCTATCACATGTGAAGCACTAGGTTCAATCCTCAGCACCACATAAAAATAAGTAAATAAAATAAAGGTATTGTGTCTATCTACAGCTAAAAAAAATATTTAAAAAATAAAAGGGAGCCAGGTGCAGTGGTGCACACCTGTAATCCCAGTGGTTCTGGAGGCTGAGACAGGAGGATCTCAAGTTCAAAACCAGCCTCAGTAACTGCGAGGCACTAAGCAACTCAGTGAGGCCCTGTCTCTAAATAAAATACAAAATAGGGCTGGAGATGTGGCTCAGTGGTTGAGTGACCTTAGTTCAATCCTTGTTACCAAAAAATAAATGGAGGGAGAGGGCTGGAAGGGCTGGGGATGTTGCTCAGTGGTTAGGCAACTCTGGGTTCAACCCTCAGTACCAAAAAGAAAAAAAATAAAAAAATAAATTTTAAAAACCAATTTAAATCCAGCCTGAACAATCTTATTTTTTCCTAAGCAAGAAAAACATAAAGGATAAGGCAATGGTGTTGCTCACAGAGGGAGGTATAAGGACAAGTCCTGATTGGAAAGACATTAATAGGCTTCTTTGGGCCTCATTCCCCATAAGAAACCCTGAGAAAACTTAACTTTGGACCAAGCTGATAGGGACAGCCCACTGGGCTTAGTCACTTCAAAGTGTTTGAACATTAGAGATTTTTTTTTTTTTTAACCAAAACCAGCATTTTCTACCATTGTACTGTGATAAGACCATGACTTCAGGTTTGAATGGCAGTGCTGATGTATTTCATGGCATATGAATCTTAGTGATGCACAACTTTTTGCAGAAAAATCATTTTAACTGCTACCAAATGAACAATTTTACAGCTTTTGAACAAATTTAATGTATAGCCCAAGGAGGAACAAATTACAGCAGTCTAGCCTAGAAGGGCTGAAAACACATATTAGTGTGTCAGGATTTCTGCCAGAAAAAGAACAGCTATGTTAGTACTAGCACTAGACTGTATTTCTCAAGAGCACTAAAAAGACTTCCATTCTGCAAACAGTAATGAACTCAAAATTATGAACCCAAAGTTCCAGTTCTAACCTTTAAGCTTTGTTTGGGTGTTATAGGTGACTCTGTTATTACAACATGTCAAGGTTTGATGTTTATTCTTTAAAAAGAAACTTATGGTATCCTTGTTTAATATTAGGCTATTATAATAAATTTAGAATGTATGAATAAATTACATTAGGAAACTAGAAATCACAATGCCCAAATGTAACCACTGTTAACACAGGATTATATTCCTTCAATTTTAATGTTTGGGTTTTTCTTATGAGTGTGTGTGTACATACATATATATGTATATCCAATGTACATATACTTTGAAAATAAAAAGTGGCAAAAAATATTTTAAAAATAAAAATAAAAAGCAGCTCATACAGAATACACTATTTTTTAATAACAAAGCAATAATATCTTTCTATGTTGTTTATATATGTAATTCGCATTTCCAAATGTTTGTACTCATTCGTTATTATTTCCTTAGAATAATTTCCTAGTAGATTTTTTGGGTCCGATGGTATACAATTTAAGGCAGTTGTTAAGTACAGTCAAATTCCAAGATTTACTGTTACCTGTTCCCTGCTTCATTTTAGAAAGGATTTGATATTCCTGGGCTTGATGTTTAATATCATTGTTGAGTGTAGGATTTTTAAATGCACAAAAGTCATTTTGTCAGTGAGTCACAATGTAGCTGCTGCTCATGATGAGCTTAAACATTTCCCTTTAGAGTTTTTAAACTTCTAGTTTATTTAGTCATTGGCATTTTAAAGGAGCAATAGTCAGTATCATCCCTGGTTATCCTCTAGTGGCTATTCCTCGGTGGGAATTGGTGGCAGTGATCCTGTATGATGGCACTGTGCCTTGTCCTTCTGTGCTAGGCAGGAGTATTGGCAAGCTGCCAGATGAGGGAATGTTTATGGAGGCGTCCCCAGGCCCACTGAACTCCAGTTATTCTGGATGAAATGTCTCTTCTTCAGTAGTGAACTGCTGCTTGGATTATTTTTCAAATCTTTGTTTCCCTGTATCATTTTGTAGTTGTAGATGGACAGCATGCCTTTATTTGATCTGTTTATTTTTATTCGGTGCTGAGGATCAAACCCAGTTCCTCACACGCACTAGGCAAGCTCTCTGCCACTGGGCTACAGCCCCAGCCCCTCCCTGTATCATTTTTGCAAGAAGTTTTGTTTTTGTTTTTGTTTTTGTTTGAATTCTTGCTCGTGAAATGCCTTCTCTCTGAACCCCAAAGGTCTTATTAATTTGTTTCCCTCCACGCTAACTCCCAAATGGCCATTCTGCTTGTCCCCAATTTGCTCACCTTGAGTAACTGTCCTAAAAAATGAATACTTTGTTTTTAGGTTCATCAGAGATACCCATTAAAATGCAGTTTCAAATGACCGCCCGTCTGCTTGTCGTTTCCCTCCCTGTAGTTGGGGCCCCACTTCAGAGGCTGGACATGCTGTCCCAGGAGGCCTCACCTCCCCACTGCACCCACACCCCACCTAGGAAGCCGGTTTCCCCAGTGTCCTCAGTTCAGCTCACTCTTTTTCCTGGTTAATCCATTTGACAAAATGGATTATTTTTTGAGTTATACTTAGTCTAATCTCCAGATTTGTAGCTGTTGTCTCTTTTTAAACTTAGCATTTGTTCTTTCCTGGTGTTTTTAGAGTAAGCTTCTGGTTTTATGTTAGTTATATATAATGCCCTGTTAAATTTACCATCCTGAGCACTCAGCAGGGGGATGTGGTCTCTGTTGATCATAGGTCTTCAGCTTGTGTGTTTTGTGTGTGTGTGTGTTGGGGGGGGTCTGGGTATGGAGCCCAGGACCTCGTGCATATGAGGCAAACACTGTACCTCTAAGCTATACCAACAGCCATTTTTTCTATTATAGAAAATATCATGTTAGCCCTGACATTTTTAGCCCTGATTCCACAACCTGAGTGAAATAAGCATGTATAAATATATTTTCTTTCACATTACCGTAAACCATTTTCAGTATTAACAGTATCTCATCTGGAGAAAAAAAACTATTATATCTGGCAGAGTACTTCAGTTGGTTTTGTGGGGGTTTTGATTCGCTTTGGTTTTTGTTTTATTGGTACTGGGGTTGAACCCAAGGACATTCTATCACTGAGCTGTATCCCTTTTTGTTTCTTATTTTGATATAGCCTCTCCCTAATTGTCTAGTCTGGCCTCAAACTTGTAATCCTCCTGCCTCAGCCTCCCAAGTAGCTGGAATTACAGGCATACACCACCAAGGCTGACCTGAATAAATATTTAAAATAATCCTAGGTGCTAAGGGTATAATTCAGTGGTAGAACATGTATCTAGTATATTTGAGACCCTGGGTTTAAGCCCCAGCTCATGTGCATGCATCTCCACAGACAAACTATTAAATGTAATTTCACTAAAATTAATAAAATTTGGTGTTTTTGCCTCTGTTTCAGGGTTTTAACATCAAAAGTGTACAATCACAGGGTTTTAAACTGAATGTATGGGACATTGGTGGACAGAGGAAAATCAGACCATACTGGAGGAATTATTTTGAAAATACTGATATTCTTGTAAGTACTTCTTCTGATGTGCTAGTTCATAATCCTTTCTGCCCTGTGCAAGAAACAGTGACACTGTAACATTCCCCCATCCCAGTCCTGGGTATTGAACCCAGAGACCCTCTAGCAGTGAACTATAACCCTGTACTTTCTGTCTATCTATCTACCTATTTATTTGTTTATAGATAGGGTCTGGCTAAGTTGCCAAGGCTGGCCTTGAATTGGTGATCCTCCTTCCCCCCTGTCCTGAGTAGCTGACTGTCCAACTGTAATGTTCTTTCTCGTCAGTAGTTCCATTGCCTTGATGTTAATTGTGAGTTAGCAGAATTACATTAGGCTTCAGGCTGGAGAGGAGAAACATCTCTGTGTGACAAGTATATGATATTTTGCTGTCGCTCAGTAACAACATTACTCCCACCCACCTTGGCAAAGTAAAGTGTTTATTAATTACCATAGTGATTTAAACAGTAGAAGGGAAGTCAGAAGATCATAAGCTGACTCTGTCATCTCAAGTGAATCAATAAATCAGATATATCCAGAAGAGAGCAACCAAGATAATGAAAGTCCTGGAAACAATGTTGGATAAGGAATGCTTGAGAGGCCTGACAGCGTTGTCCCTAGAAAAAGGAACACTAGAACTGTCTTTCGTTGCTTCCAAAACTACCTTAAGTGTCTGAGGGATTAGCCTTATCATGAATAGTTCTAGAGACTGAGCTAGGAGCAATCTGGGAGTTTTAAAATGATAGAATTTCATTCAGAATAAGGAAGAAGTTTCCTATAGCTACAACTGCCCAGAAGTAGAGCAAGCTGCCTGGTATGTTGGGGATTCTCTGGCTCAGGTGCCATTCCTCCAGGCAGAGGCTGACATTTAGTGCATTTGGTTTTCTACTCACTGTCACTTTTTTCTTCTTCTTCTTCTTCTTCTTCTTCTTCTTCTTCTTCTTCTTCTTCTCTCTCTCTCTCTCTCTCTCTCTCTCTCTCTCTGTGCACGTATTAGTGAGGATTGAACCCTAGCTTCTGCCTCAGACTTCTGAGTAGCTGGGATTACAGGCATACAGCTTCACTGACATTTTCTCCAAGACTTCTGTTTCAAAATTCTGGGAGAGTTCACTGACTGTATACAGAATTTCTCCAATACCCCAACTTCTCAGTCATATATATGTGTGTGTGTGTGTATACACATATGTATATATATGTAATATGTTACATATTTTAAAAAAATATGTATATATAAAGTTTTTTCACTAACCTCTAACTGAAAGCTTGGATTTACTTCAGTTATGATGATGGACAGTAAACTACAACAACATCTGCCATATCTTTGTCTTTATTACTAACAGAATTCATCTTGTATCTCAAATAGCTTCTCTCTCTTATGGCTTCTGGTGTGACTCTCTCTTTTGGATCATTCCTGTTGACATCCACACATCCTGTGGTTTCTCATTTAAAAAGAAAAAAATAACAAACAACTTTTCTGTTGACTCTTCTAGGTACTGTCCCATTCCCCAGCCTCCCTTTATAACAGGAGTCCTTGAAGGAATTTTCTCCACACTGTCTTTAGCTCCTCTACTCCCAGTTACTCTTGAGCCTTCCTTTCAGTATCACCAATAATTTCCATTGCTGAGTTCAGAGTTTGATTTCCAGTACTCATCTTCCTTAACTTGCCATCGTGTTCAACATAGTCAGTTGTGCTGTCCTGGAAACATTACCTTTCCTTGGTTTCCAGGCTACCATTCCATGTTATTTTCCTCCTAACTCACTGGCTCCTCCTCCTCAATCTTCATTTTTTTTGTTTGCTTGGTTTTTGTTTTTGTTTTTTGTTTATTTGTTTGTTTCCTTTTTGTTGTTGTTGTTCTTTCCTTATCAGTTGCTATAGTTTGGATCAGGAATGTCTCCCAAAGACCTGTGTGTTAAGGTGGAACCTATAAGAGGTGGGGCTTGATGGGAGGATTTAGGTGATTGGGGATATGCTCTCAAAGGGAATTTAGGACTCTGGTCCCTTCTTCTTTCTTTTTGTGTCCTTGCAGTGAGGTGAGGTGCATAGCTTTGCTCTACCACATGCTGCCATGATATGTTGCCTCACCACAGACCCAAAAGCAACAGGGCCAACAGACCATGGACTGAGACCTCCAAAACTGTGAACCAAAATAAACCTTTTCTCTTTATAAGCTGATTGTAATTTGTTACAATAATGGAAGGCTAACTAACACAAATCACAATCTCCAATTGTTTGGATGCCCTGGAGGTCAATCCTTGTTTTTCTCCTCTATGCCATTGCTTAGGTAAATTCATCCAATTTTAGGCTTTAATTATCATGTACATAGTGATGAATCCCAAAGTATTATCTCAGGAGTTCATAGATAGCCAGCTGCCCATTTGACATCTCCCATTCAGTGGCTCAGAAGCCCCTCAGCCTCAGCAAATTTCTGTCTTCATCTACTACTGCCCAAACCTGTTCCTCCTTCAGTCTTTTCAGTAAAGAGCAGTTCCGATCATCCAAAAACAACAGAATCATCCTTAGCTCCTATTCTTCTCACTCCTCACGTCTGGTCTATCAGCAAATTCTGCCTGTCCTACTTCAAAACATTTCTAGAGCCTGACACTTCCTTCCACCTCCACTTCCGCTATGCACTGTTCATTACATTACCTCCCTGATCACCTCTCTGCTTCTACCCCTGCCACCCTGAAGGCTCAGCACTGCTGCTAGGGTAATCATGTGGGGCTGGGATTGTGGCTCAGTGGTGGAGCGCTTGCCTCACACAAGTGAGGAACTGGGTTCGATCCTCAGCATCACATAAAAAATAAATTCATTAAATAAATAAAGATATTGTGTCCATCTTTAAAAATATTAAAATCTTTAAAAAAAAAAAAAAAGAAATCCAACCTCCCATCTCAAAGTAAAAGCCAATGTTCTCCTGGTAGCCTCTTTGCCTTCTGCATTCTGGCTCCTTGGTTAATTCTCTGACTTCATCTTCCGCCTCTCTCACTTGGTTCCAGCCATAGTAGCCTCCTTGCTGTTCCTGACACACCAGCATGTTCCCACCTTGGAGTCTTTTTTTTTTTTTTTTTTTGAGAGAGAGAGAGAGAATGTTTAAATGTTTGTTTATTTATTTTTTAGTTCTCAGCAGACACAACATCTTTGTTGGTATGTGGTGCTGAGGATCGAACCCGGGCCGCACGCATGCCAGGCGAGCGCGCTACCGCTTGAGCCACATCCCCAGCCCCACACCTTGGAGTCTTTGTCATTGCTGTTTCCACTGCTAGATTTCTTTTTTCTTTAGATTTCCTCATGACTTGCTCCCTTACTGCCTTCAATACATCACCTTATTCCTGAGACCTTTCCTGATTATTATATGTATATTTAAAATTATAGCTACTATCTCCACCTTCCCAACACTGTAATATTTCTTTGTTTTCCTTCTTTTTTTCCTCCATCAGACTTATCATTACTCAGTACCATCAAGTTCATTTTTGTTTTCTTCAGTGTTGAGGATCAAGCCACTGTCTTGCATGTACAAGGCAAGTGTTCTAGCTATATCCCAGCCCACCATGAGACATTTTTATTTGTTTATTACCTATCTCTCCCACTGAAGTGTAAATTCCATGAGAACAGGAGCTTTTGCACTTTTTGTTTAACTGTTGTGTCTTTAGTGCCTAGAAAGGTACCTAAATGAACAAATGTATCTTGTTATGGATGGATTCTGACATCAGGCAGAATGTAGAGTTATTTAACTTCAGATACACCAAAAGCACAGTCCATAAAAGAAAAAGTTGGGCTTTATTAGAATTTTAAACTTCTGCTCTATAAACGATAATATTGAGCATATGAAAGGGCCCTGAGTTCAATCTCCAATACCACCACCAAAGAAGGGGAGGGGACATTGCTAAGAAAATGAAGAATCAAGCGACAGATTAGGAGAAAAGATTTCTAAAACACGTATCTAAGGGCTGGGGCTGTAGCTCAGTGGTAGAGCATCTGCCTAGCACGTGTGGAGGCACTGGGTTAGATCCTCAGCACCACATAAAAATAAATAAATAAAGATATTTATGTATCTATAAATAAAAAAAATAAAAATAAACATATCTAATCTAATAAAGGACTTATATCCAAATTATACAGAGAACTCAATTTCAACAATAAAAAACCTGATTTAAAATATGGGCAAAAGATCTGAACACATACCTCACCAAAGAAGATCTACAGATGGCAGAAAAGCATATGAAAATACACTCAGTATTATATGTCATTAGGGAATTGCAAATTGAAACAATGAGAAAATGAAAATAAAGGCTGGGCAGAGCACCCTCCTCGCATGTTCGAGACCCTGGGTTCAATTCTCAGCACCACATAAAAATAAATAAATAAAATAAAGGTATTGTGTCCAACTACAACTGAAACAATAAATATTAAAAAGAGAGAGAGAAAAAATAAAATAACAGTGAGATTGCTACTAAAAAGGCTAAAATCCAAAAATTAGACGATACTGAATGCTGTGGGAATTTTTTTTTTTTTTTTTTAAGCCAGGGATTGAACTTCGGGGCACTCAACCACTGAGCCACATCCCCAGCCCTTTCTTGTATTTTATTTAGAGAAGGGTCTCACTGAGTTGCTTAGTACCTCCCATTAGCTGAGGCTCGCTTTGAATTTGTTATACCCCTGATGCTAGTGGTGCCTGGCTTGGGAATTCTCCTTCATCACTGGTGGGAATGCAAAATGGTACAAACACTTTGGAAAACAGTTGGTAGGTTTTGTTTTGTTTTGTTTTTTAATATATTTTTAGTTGTAGATGGACACAATATCTTTATTTTATTTGTCAATTTTTTTTTTGTGGTGCCAGGTTTTGAACCCAGTGTCTCACACATGCTAGGCAAGCGCTCTACCACTGAGCCACAACCCCAACACCCACTGTTGGTAGTTTCTTTTTTTTTTTGGTAGTTTCTTTAAAAGCTAACCAAAGCCTTACCATACAATTCAATAGTGCTACAAAGTATCTACCCAATTAGTTGAAAAC